GCTGTCACCTCTAAACTTAACCCAAATACTCTCAACAGGCTTTTCTCCAGTTTCAAACCGGAGCTCTGAGCAATCATACCGCTCTCTTACATACAATGCAACTCCTCCACCTTTCCTCCCGTACCTGTCCTTCCTGAACAGTTTATACCCATCCTTACTTAGGCTAGGTCTACACTACCCACCTGAATCGGCGGGTAGAAATCGACCTCTCGGGGATCGATTTATCGCGTCCCAATCGATCCCCGAATTGACGCTCTTACTCCACCAGCGGAGGTGGGAGTAAGCGCCGTCAACAGAAAGCCGCAGAAGTCGATTTTGCCGCCGTCCTCACAGCGGGGTAAATCGGCTGCGATACGTCGAATTCAGCTACGCTATTCACGTAGCTGAATTTGCGTATCTTAAATCGACTCCCCCCTGTAGTGTAGATGTACCCTTACATCTATTGCTTCCCCACATCCACAAGGCTTGTTATCCTGTCAAAGAAGGATATTAGATTGGTATGACATGATATGTTCTTGACAAATCTATGTTGACTGTTACTTATCACCTTGTTATCTTTTAGGTGTTTACTAATCAATTGTTTGATTATTCGCTCCATTATCTTCCAGGTACTGAAGTTGAGCTGACTTTTCTATAATTGTCCTTATTCTGTTTATCATCAATAGGTACTACACTTACCCTTGTCCAGTCCTCTGGGATCTCTCCTCTCTCTCCATGAGTTCTCAAAGATAATTGCTAATGACTCAGACATCTCTTCAGCCTGTTCCTTAAGTATTCTAGGATGTATTCCGTCCGGCCTGCTGGTGAAGACATCTAACTTGTCTAAATAATTCTTAACTTGTTCTTCCCTATTTCTACCCCATTTATACTCATGTTCACAATGTTAGTTGTCCAATCACTGCTAACCTTTTTGGTGAAAACAAACAAAAAAAAGGCATGAGCTAGTTATATTTACTTTGTGGAAACAGAATATGTCACCAACCAGTAGTAAGTATATTTAGAACTTTAAAGGGCCAGTTTTCCAAAGCTTAAAGCAATTATTGGCATAACCGACTGGGAACAAATTTAAAATGGAAACTAACAAAAACTGGAACTTATTCAAGGACATCCTATTAGATGACCAAAAAGCCATGACTCCAAAGACATTTAAAAAACAAAAGTTATGCTGGGCAAGGAGCCAATCTGGCTAAAAGGAGATGTGAACGTGATGATAAAACAAATAAAATATATAAAGGATGCAAAAAAGGGGACATAAATGGCAATGAATATAAGTTATAAGTTAAAAAAAGTGCAGGCAACTGATAAGGGAAGTCAGGTATAGGTCCATCAGTACATGCAGATGCTAAACTTGTAAACAGTGATGTAGAAAAGTCGGGAATGTTAAATAGATATTTCTACTCTCTATTTAGAATGAGATGAGAGGATGTACCCAACCCATGTGATTTTGTAGAGAAAATATTAAGATTACTATCTGTAACAAAGGAGCATGTGAGGCTGCATCTGCCAAAATTAACATTTTCAAATAAACAGACTCGAACAATTTACAACCAAGAGTCTTAAAGGAACTAACCAAGGAGCACTTTGAACCGCTAATATTACTTTTTAACAAATCTTGAAAAACAAGGGACATTCCAAAGGGCTGAGGACTGCCAATGTAGTTCCAATATCTAAAAAGGGAGAAAAGAATGACCCAGGGAACTGCAGACCAATTAGTCTGACGTTAATCCCAGGTAAAATAATGGACCAGTTAATTTGGGACTCTATCAAAGAACTAGAGGCTACACAGCATGGTTTCATAGAAAGTAGGTCTTTTTTTTTTTTTTTTTTTTTTTAAAAACAGGGTTACAGATCTGGTTGATAAAGGTAACTGTGTTTACACACCATACATAGATTTTTCCAAGGCATTTGACTTAGTATCACATGACATTTTGATTTTTTTAAAAACTGAATTATTCAGAATTAACAGAATACACATTAGATGGATTAACAATTCACTCACAGACAGATCTCAAAATGTAGTTGTTAATGGGGAGATCTCAATGAGCGGGATGAGATGTTATACCTACAGGATGAGAGACTGGACATAGGACATAGGCATAATCATAGGTACTTGCCTCGATATGAGCTGTCAGTGCAACAATGGCAAAAAAGCTAATGAGATCCTCAGATGTATAAAAAGGGCAACGTCAAGCAGAAGCCTGGAAGTGATCTTGACCTTTGTACACAGAATTGGTAAGACCACTGCTAGAATGTTGTCTCCATTTCTGATAATCACACTTCATGAAGAATGAAATACTGGAAGAGTTCAAAGGAGGGTCACAAAAATTATTGAAGAGCTGGAAAACATGTCTCAAGATGTGAGGCTTAAGGAGCTTCAACCCACTCAGTTTATCGAGGAGAAGGTTGAGAAGTAACTTGATCCCTGTGTATAGGTTCTTAAACATAGAAAAAATATATGATAGTGGGGAACTGTTCAACCTTGCTGACAAAGGCATTGTGACAAATAAAGCAATTTCTTGTATATCCTTGGAAGACTTTATTAAATTAAGTTTAAGTATCTTTGGGGTCCATTGTATTAAATGCAAAGTTTAGGTATTATCACGGGCCGGGACTGTATGTAACTTCTCTGCGAGGGAGATGTGATGTGAGGCCTGGGAGTCAAGGAACTATATTGAAAGTGTGCCAGACAAGAATGGACTTCTGGAACAATAGAGTGAAGTGGATTTCCTGAGAAACACAAAGGGAGAGGTTAGCAAATGCCTTTATCTCTGGTTACACAAAAAAACAGCCTTTTGAATCATAGAATATCAGGGTTGGAAGGGACCTCAAGAGGTCATATAGTCCAACCCCCTGCTCAAAGAAGGACCAACACCAACTAAATCATCCCAGCCAGGGCTTTGTCAAGCCTGACCTTACCACCTCCCTAGGTAACCCATTCCAGTGCTTCATCACCCTCCTAGTGATAAAGTTTTTCATAATACCCAACCGAAACCTAACCATTACAACTTGAGACCATTACTCCTTGTTCTGTCATCTGCTACCACTGAGAACAGTCTAGATCCATCCTCTTTGGAACCCCCTTTCAGGTACCTGAAAGCAGCTATCAAATCCCCCCTCATTCTTCTCTTTTGCAGACTAAATAATCCCAGTTCCCTCAGCCTCTCCTCAGAAGTCATGTGCTCCAGCCCCCTAATCATTTTTGTTGCCCTCCGCTGTACTCTTTCCAATTTTTCCATCCTTCTTGTAGTGTGGGGCCCAAAACTGGACACACTACTCCGGATGAGGCCTCGCCAATGTCAAATAGAGGGGAATGATCACATCCCTCGATCTGCTGGCAATGCTCCTACTTATACAGCCCAGAATGCTGTTAGCCTTCTTGGCAACAAGGGCACACTGTTGACTCATATCCAGCTTCTCGTCCACTATAACCCCTAAGTCCTTTTCTGCAGAACTGCTGCCTAGCCTCTCGGTCCCTAGTCTGTAGCAGTGCATGGGATTCTTCCGCCATAAGTGCAGGACTCTGCACTTGTTCTTGTTGAACCTCATCAGATTTCTTTTGACCCAATCCTCTAATTTGTCTACGTCCTGAAGCTACTCCCTGAAGAGTGAATCATTGTTTGCTGATTACCTGTTCTCCAATACTGAAGATCAAAGGCCCGAGCTATATAAAGAAACAGGCTGATCTGCTCAGTTTGTGTTCTGGTTCCAAAATCAGAGGGAGTTATGAACTTGTAACGAAGAGAAAACCCAGCTGTGTGTTTTGAAGGACTGACACCTACCCAAGTCTAAAATTGAAGTTGGGGTGACCTCTGGTAAGCATTTTAGCACACATGTAGATTCTTTTATTGTTTTTAAAATGTTTTATCTGTAATGCTTTTATCTTCCAAATAAATGTCCTTATTTAGAAAGAGCAAGTGTGGTAACTTGTAACTGCAAGCAATTACACTGTTCATGGCCTCTAGAGAGATAGCAAAGCACAGACACAGGCCTGTTTAGGCAGTCTGGCTTGCTGAGAATATCACAGTGTAAATCAAGGAGCTGTGCTGTCTTGACTGTCTGGTCAGGAGATAGAAAGGCACAGGTCTCTCTCCAAGAGAGGTAATGGCAGAGAAGCTCAGAGCCTAGAGTGGGTGCCCCTGGTGGACCAGGAGAGGGGAATACAGGTGCAGTTGCCCTTAACTGTGACATATATGTAGGTTTGCCAGACATCCCGTTTTCGACCAGAATGCCCAGTCGGAAAGGGACCCTGGCAGCTCTGGTCGCACAGCGGACTGGGCCACTAAAAGTCCAGTTGGCTACAGCAGGGCAGGCAGGCTCTGTGCCCAGCTCCACGCAGCTCCCGGGAAGCGGCTGGCATGTCCCTCCAGCTACTAGGCCAGGGGTGGGCAAACATTTTGGCCTGAGGCCACATTGGGTTCCGAAACTATGCCTCCCCAAACACCCTGGCCCCTGCCTCCTATCCACCCCCTCCCACTTCCCGCCCCTTGACTGCCCCCCTCAGAACCTCCAACCCATTCAACCTCCCGTGCTCCCTGTCTCCTGACTGCCCTGCCCCCTATCCACACCCCTGCCCGCTGACAGGCCCCCCGGGACTCCCACGCCTATCCAACGGCCCCCTGCTCCCTGTCCCCTGACTACCAATTTATATCTGCGGATAAAAAATTTGTATTCATGCAGGGCTGTACTGACAATCAGAAGAGATGTGATGGTACACACACACACAAACGTATGTTCAAAAAGAGTGCACCAGTAAAATAAAATTAAAAAAAAAAGCTAACATTTCAATAACCCAAATACTGATAAAAGATTTTTACCACTGTAAATTTCCCCTGAAGGCCAATATCTTGTGCATGTTACAAGTTAGCTCAGAGCAATTTTTTTTATAGCCTAGAATTAAATGCTGGGAAAAAAAGGGATTTAAAATGCAAGTGCTGACACAACCTTAACTACAGCATTTTGCACGATAGAGCAGCACAACTATAATTAAAAGGACAACTTACATCAAGTAAAAAGCTTCACTGCAAGCCTTTTTAATGGATCAATACTTCACCACCATCAGCAACTCAACAGGCTAAGGGAAGAGATGGAAAAAATTAGACTTGTTAAGCAATTAAGGAAAATAACTTGTATGAATACAAGGATATTTTGAAGGCTCTGAAAGCTGGTTGTATAAGATATCCCTGAATTTATTATTTACTTCTAGAATTAACCACAAAACATAGGGATTGCTTAACATCACATACTAATACAAAAACATCCATGTCTGTTGTACTGATTTTTTTGTGTTACAGAATGGCTGCAAAAAACTGTTAAAGATGCAATGAGAGCTGACTATTAAAATTGGGGGCAATCACTATTAGAAAGCTGCAGAATGAAAGCTCTAAATAACTGAAAATATATTAGGGAGAAAGCTGCAGTGTATATGACTCAATTGACAGAAATACAGTAAACTGGGTTTTTAAAGCAACCAGCAATATGGTAAGCACATATTGAACTAGCTCTCTTTTCCATAACTTTAGTAGTAAGATCTTTTAAGGCAGAGAACCAGTGAACTTTAGCTATTTATTGCAGAAAGACCTGAGAAGTACAGTTTGGTACCTGGTGATGTTAAACAGCCACAGCTACAACAGGAAGATTTTTAAGCTACCTGTATATGTAAAGTTTCTTGAAGGGCCCGGCAATACATCAAGATGAACTGGTAAGTTCACTACTGCAGTGAAGGAGTCATCCAGAAATCTGAGGATTCTTCCCCAGCATGGAACAATCATTTTCTGATGACCCTGGCTAGATACGCGAGTTCATCTGCCGTGTGTCCATGGCAGCCTTTAGTAAAATTTGAAGGAAAAGCCACTGGAGGTAACCATGCTGCTTTTATTTTTATTTCTTTTCTCATTAAGGGGAATTATCAGGGCATTTCTGTGTTCTCTGAGCATGCACTCTTACCTCAGGCAAATTGCCCCATTTTAAAATACTTAAATTTTTCACTCTGTAGTTCTATTATTGCCAACAAGCTCAGTATTGTTCACTTACAGGGTAGATAGAAAAGTGGCAGTACAGAATCTTCATTTTGGTTGGGAAGAGCAAGGTGCAAATGTTTGTGTATGACAATTTTTTTTTCTCCCTCTTTCTTTGGTGTGGGGAAAGGATTTTTCCATTTTATCTTCTTAGGATATGACCCTGCAAGCCCTTAGTAGCATTCAAGTCAACGTACTACACACAAAGTAGTGGTTTGCAGGGTCAAGGCTTCCGGACGAAATTTTCAAAAATGACTACACAGATTTTGGGTGCCCAAACTGTCACATTTTAAAGGGCTCTGATTTTCATGATGTGTTGAGAACCCATCCTTAGCTAATCAAGCCTCATAAAAGTATCTCTGGGTAGGCACACATCAAAAATGTAGACCTAAGTGTGTATTCGGCTACATCTTTTACATTTTGTAAGGCATTGCCAATGGTATACCCTCATCTGGAATATTGTCTTGATTTTTCACCACCTCGTTTTAGAAAAGGTATAACAGAAATAAAGATGATTCAGAGGTGAACACAATGAATGATAAGTGGACGTGGAAAAATGTTCTATACAAAGACATCAAAAACAATGGGGCTGCTGAAGTTAGAGAGGAGACATGATAGAGAGATATACAAAATAATTAACAATTCAAAATATAAATCAGGCACTCTAATTTACCTGCTCCAACTACAAGGATATTATCAATGAAACTGAACAGCAACAGTTTTTTTGGAAGTCATAAAAGGATTTTTTTGTTTTTACACAATGTATATTTAATGTATGGAACTAACTGTTTTCAATGGTTTCTTGCGACAACTTTGCAGGATTCAGAATAGGATTGTACATTGATATGGAGAATAAGAATATCAAATTATATGATAGGATTTAAAAAAATTCTAGAAAGCACATTAATGCTTATGCTTCAGGGGAAAAACTAACCATTTCTTGATAGAGACTGGTGTAACAGACTGGCAACATCCTGCAACATCCTGGACAAACCTTATGGAACTAAGGGTAGGTCTACACTACCCGCCAGATCGGTGGGCAGCGATCAATCCAGCAGGGGTCGATTTATCGCGTCTAGTCTAGAAGCAATAAATCAACCCGAGTGCTCTCCCGTCAACTCCTGTACTCCACCGTCACGAGATGCGCAGACGGAATCGACGGGGGAGCGGCAGCAGACAACTCACCACGGTGAAGACACCACAGTAAGTCAATCTAAGTATGTCGACTTCAGCTACATTATTCACGTAGCTGAAGCTGCGTAACTTAGATCGACCCCTTCCGCCCCCCATTGTAGACCAGGCCTTAGATAAGCTTTATGGAATTAACTTAAGCTTCTCTCTGCTGAAAATAACAGTGAACGCAGGGAACTGTTCAGCCTGGAGATACTCCAGTCAGAAGAGTATCCAGCCAAGAAAGGTGATTGCAAAGGGAACCTGAAGCCTGAGAGTGGGGGCCATAGAGGAGGAATGTAGGTGCAGCTGCCCTGAACTGTGACAGTTAAGAAGTGAGTTTCCCCCAACAATCATGTTAAGAACATAAGAACGGCCATACTGGGTCGGACTAAAGGTCCATCAAGCCCAGTATCCTGTCCTCTGAGAGTGGCCAATGGAAGGTGCCCCAAAGGGAATGAACAGACAGGTTATCATCAAGTGATCCATGCCATGTCACCCAATCCCAGCTTCTGGCAAACAGCCAGGATGGGCAGGAAGGGTGTCCCTAGCCTCTAATAGCCATTGATGGACCTATCTTCCATGAATCTATCTAGCTCCCTTTTGAACCCTGTTATAGTATTGGCCTTCACAACACCCTCTGGCAAGGAGTTCCAGAGGTTGACAGTGCCTTGCATGAAAAAATACTTTCTTGTGTTTGTTTTAAACCTGCTACCTATTAATTTCATTTGGTGGCCCCTTGTTCTTGTATTATGAGAAGGAGTACATAACGCTTCCTTATTTACTTTCTCTATACCACTCATGATTTTATAGACCTCCATCATAGCCCCCTTAGTCGCCTCTTTTCCAAGCTGAAAAGTCCCAGTCTTATTAATCTCTCCTCATACGGAAGCCATTCTATACCCCTAATCATTTTTGTTGCCCTTTTCTGAACCTTTTCCAATTCCAATATATCTTTTTTTGAGATGGGGTGACCACATCCGCACGTAGTATTCAAGGTGTGGGTGTACTATGGATTTATATAGTGGCAATATGATATTTTCTGTCTTATTATGTATCCCTTTCTTGATGATTCCCAACATTCTGTTCGCTTTTTTGACTGCCGCTGCACATTGAGTCCAAGATCCGTATTTTGCTACTCTCCTTTCTTCCTTTTGTGAGGATCCTGAACTCAACCGTCTCATGGTCACTGCTGCCTAGGTTGCCACCCACTTCTACTTCCCCTACCAATTCTTCCCTGTTTGTAAGCAGCAGGTCTAGAGGAGCACAGCTTCTAGTCAGTTCCTCCAGCACTTGTACCAGGAAGTTGTCCCCAACACAGAATGTACATGCCAGACCCAAGAGATTCCTATAACTCCTTTGAACCACCTTGCCATAGGACCACTTGAGATGTGAGACAGGGAGCTGAAAGGGAAGTGAAGCTTTGATCAGGACAAAGGATTATTAAATTCTGGAAAAGGCAGCAAGGAACTCACAACTCTTGTGAAGACAACTAGAAGAATTTGGTTTTGCATTACATTCATTTTATGTCACTAAACTGAACCTTGCAAAGGGAGAGTTAATTCAAAAGCACCAGTTATCATAGAGGGATTAGACGAGAGGATACACCTAGTGGATGGGGGGCAGGGGGAAAGCAGTATACCTGGTCTCTTGATTTTAGTAAGGCTTTTGACAGTCTCACATGACATTCTCATAAGCAAACTAGTGAAACGTGGTCTAGATGAAATTACTAGAAGATTGATTTATAACTGGTTTAAAGACCATACTCAAAGTGCAGTTATCCATGGTTCTCTGTCAAACTGCAAGGACGTATCCAATGGGTTCCTACACAGGGTCTGTCCTGGCTCCAATATTTTCATTAGATGACTTGGATGAGAGTATATTCATAAAATTTGCAGATGACACCAAGCTGGAAGGGGTTGCAAGCACTTTGGAAGACAGGATTAGAATTCAAAATGTCCTTGATAAATTGGAGAATTGGTGTGAAATCAGTAAGATGAAATTCAAGTGCAAAGTAACACATGTATGAAGGAAAAAAATCAAATGCACAACTAAAAAAAGGGTACAAAAAGGATCTTGGTGTTTTAGTGAATCAGAAATTGAGTATGAGCCAATGTGAGGCATTAGCAAAGAAGTCTAATACTCTGGAATGTATTAAAAGGAGTGTGATATGTAAGATAAAGGAGGTAACTGTCCCACCTTACTCAGCACTGGTGAGGCCTCAGATGGAGTATTGTCTTCTAATTATGGAGATTACACTTTAGGAAAGATGCGGACAAACTGAAGAGAATCCAGAGGAGAGTAACAAAAATAAAAGCTTTAGAAAACTTGACCTATGAAGAAAGGTTAAACTGGGCATGTTTAGTCTTGAGAAAAGAAGACTGAGGGGGAACCTGATAAGAGTCTTCAAATATATTAAGGCCTGTTATAAAGAGGACAGTGATCAATTGTTCTCCATGTCCACTGAAGGTAAGACACAAAGTAACGGTCTTAATCTTCAGCAAAAGAGATTTAGGTTAGATATTAGGAAAAACTTTCTAATTTAGGATAGTTAAGCTCTGGAATAGGCTTCCAAGGGAGGCTGCGGAATCCCCGTCACTGGAGGTTTTTAAGAGCAGGTTAGACAAACACCTGTCAGGGATGGTCTGGCATACTTGGTCCTGCCTCGGTGCAGGGGGCTGGACTAAATGAACTCTTAAGGTCCCGTCCAGCCCTACATTTCTATGATTCTAAGTGGAAGGTAAATCTGAGGCAGCAGATGCGGCTGATGACAGATCAGATCAGCCCTGCTACTAGGTCTCTGTCTTTAGACTTCGTCAGGTATCCTCAATTGGATTTCCTATGAGTAATAGGAACAGGGCTCTTCTCAAGCATACCATAGAACCAT